AATATATTGTAGTCAAGGGCAGCTAAACATAGCCCTTAGAACCCTACATCAGTGTCACATGGAGTATGAGGACAATGCCTGTGAAGTGGCAGACCAGGGTGGTAGTTCCCATTTTTAATAAAGGGGGACCAGAGATCATGTTTCAATTATCATGGAATCACACGTCGCTCTTGATGGGTTTTTGTGAACCATCACCTTAAAGAAACATAAACCACATGAGAGACAAGAGTGAATATTCAGAACGGGTCCTTGCAAGGAGGAACAGAGATTCTAACAGGGTCAGAATCTAAGTTCAACTTGCTTGAAGCGTGCGTTCGTATTTTATTGGTGACAGTTTGCTGATAACAAGGTTTTTTACTCAGACGTGGCAAAGAGAAAAACAAGGACAGTAAGTATTTTGATAATGATAAACAAACAAGGTCTGTGATTTAGAAACATTTTCTGGAACATTCTTAACAGTTTACAAGTCTTGTGTAACAGATAACTGGGTATTGACGCACACACAGAAACTGGTCAAAGCAAGTTGGCTGATTACAATGAAAAGTATTCAAAAATAAGTTTTTAAATGATTACTCTTAAAAAATTCCCAATCAGCTCTTCTCTGGAAAGTTTATTCCAGATTGTTGGAAGGGAGACTCTGACTCAATCCTCAAATTCAGGAGCAGTGTGACTTTCTTCCAGGTTGTGGAGCAGTGGACCAGATCTTTATCCTTGCAGAGTTCTTAAGGGGGTCATGGGAGTTTGCCTCTCAAGTCTACGTGTTTTGTGGACTTGGAGAAGGCACAAAACTGTGCTCCTCAAGGCATTTTGTGTGGGGTGCTGCAGGAGTATCGGGTGTTGGGTTGATTTTAAGAGCTATCCAGTACCTGTTGAACCAAAGCAGGAGCTGTGTCCGCATATTTGGTACAAAGTCAAGCTGGTTCCCAGAGCTGGTTGGACTCCGCCAGGGCTTTCCCTTGTCTCCAATCTTCTTTGTAGTGTTCATGGACAGGATCTTGAGACACAGTCGTGAAGAGGAGGATATCTGGTTTGGGAACTTCAGGCTCTCATCTCTGCTTTATGCGGATGTTGTGGTTCTGTTGGCATCTTCAGGCTAAGGCCTTCAGCATGCACTGGGGCGGTTCACAGCCCAGTGTGAAGCAGCTGGGATGAGAGTCAGCTCCTCAAAGTCTGAGACCATGGTTCTCAACCAGAAATGGGTGGAATTCC